TTATTTTTAAAATATATATTAAAGTATTTTTATTTTTTATTATATTTTATTAAAATAACATAATTTTTTTAAAAAAAATTTTATTCTTTGAAAGATAAAGTAAATACGTATTAATTTAAAATTTAAAAACTTAACAAAAAATTTTAATTAAATTGAAAGGTTTAATATAAGGTTTTGTCAAATTATTATCATTCATTTCAATACTGGTTCATATCAATGCCAGTCTTTTTCTTTCGAAACTGTCGAACATTTTATTTTAAATAAAGTTGCTGAGTTGAACGCCTGCTCCGCTCTAGTGGTATTGAACTTTGGGTTATGATTATTTATTTTTAGTGAGTTATATGTTTAAATCTCATGAAATTTTTTTTTTTTTTCTTCGATTAATCTTATAAATAATTATATATTGTTAAAAAATAAATAAATAAAGTTGCTGAGTTGAACGCCTGCTCTGCTTTAGGGGTATTGAACCTTGGATTATGACTATTTATTTTTAGTGGATTGCATGTTTGAATCCCACGATTTTTTTTTTTAATTAATCCTATAAATAATTATATATTGTTAAAAAAAATAAATAAATAAAGTTGCTGAGTTCAACAAGAGTGTTTAGCTCATCTATTGTTGTTATGCCACGCACTACTGCCGGTTGGCTGGTCTGCTCCTCTGCCTAGTTTTGTTGAACTCAATACTGACGTACTGACTGACGGGTAAGTATTGGGTAACTCAGGAAGTGTCGGTGCGCCAGTGGTTTATTTAGAGAAGACTTGGGTAGATGGATGCTGGGCTTTATTAGTGCAGTTCGGTGCAGTTGAAGTTTTTAACAGAAGTTTTGTAGGAAAAAAATTATTATAAAAGTGTTATTTGTATAAATAAAAATAATAAAAATAATGTGTTAATTTTATTAAAATTTAAATAAAATTTTTTTGTAAAAATATTAATTTAATACTTTTAAAATTTACAATGAAATAAACAAAATACTAACTTGTAAGAAGTTATTAACATTTTTTATAAATTGTTGTGTTTGATGTAACTGGAGGTTTTAAAATCCAAAAAAAACTTCTAACCGACTGTACCAAACATTGCCTAGCACATTGAGTCATTGACTACACCACTGGCCTGGCCGCTGAACTCTGGGCTATTCGGGATGGGATCACTATTGCTTTAAACAGAGGGTTCACTAGAGTCATTCCTGAATCAGACTCCATGACCGCCAAAGCTCTGATTTATAATGCTAATTGTGAGTTTCACTCATTGGGTTCTCTCTGGTTTCTAATTGCAGGATGTTGTTAGGCCAAGTGCTGAAGCTGCAGTTCTACCACATCTTGAGGGAAGCTAACTCTGCTGCGAACCATTTGGAAAAACAAGGAGCCGAGTCAGACTATCATTTTGTTGTGCTTAATCAATGTTCTATTGAACTTGATAGTATTTTGTTTTCGGATGCTATGGGGAGCGTATTTCCCATAACCGCTGCTGTATGAACTTAAGTTTCTAATATATCCTATCTTATTTACCAAAAAAAAAAAACGAAAAAAGAGAGAAAATGTTTTTGCTTTTTTGTTGATGATATGTTGAATCAAATAATTTTTTTTAGAAGGAAAATTGTGTTCATATCAATAGTTAAGAGAAAATATATAACATAAAAAGTCATGAAAACTCTGCTATATCTATATGAGACAAACTTAACTTTTGGGCTGATTTACTTAAAAAAACTTAATTCAAAATTTGCAGTTCTTTTATTAAAATTGTTTTATAAAAATTCAACCTTAGTTTGATCAAATATATTGAATATATCATTTAAAATTTAATAAATTCTTACCAAATTTGATAGATTGAATTTTCATACATAATATAGCACTATTTACCTTTGATTTTAATGGTATTGAAGTGGGTTGAATGTGATTTTATTTGATTTTACATTACTTTTGTTATTTTCACATAATGGACTTAATCATAAGAAATAAAAAATCTTTGGATTAAATTACAAATTTTTTTTAAGTTTAGAGACCAAATTACAAGAAGAAAATTAAAATTGGGGACTCAACTAAAAAAAGAGAAGTATAGGAACTAAAGTGTCAATCTAATGAAGTTGATGGACTAGAATTGCAAGCACATTGGATGATATGGAAATCCCACAATTTTTTTTTAAAAGAAAAAGATAATTAAATTAGAGTTCTTAAATTTGAGTTCTAAGCCGAATGAAAAAAGATTTGGAGATAAAAGAGAGTTATCATTTCTTATATAATTCATAATTAGATATATATATATAAAATAAAGTTGTTTGTCAACGTCTAATAATTATAGTGTTTTGAGAATAATAATTATTAATTTTATCTAAATTATTATAAGTTATGTATTTGATAAATTTATTTATTTTAAAAACCATTATTAATTAAGTATTTGATAAAAATTTATATTTAACAATTTAGAATTAATTATAATAGTTAACAAATTAAAAAAATTACCTTCAATAATTTTTTATACAAAATTATTAAAAATTGTAAATTTTTAATTTTATTTAAAAAATAACTATCAAGATTCAATATATAAATAAGTGGGCATCTACCCTTCGCGACTTTACACTACCCTAATCTCTTCTCTCAATAAGCAAACTTTGTTTCAATCATAAGGTACGAGTTGTTTGTAGCATCGTCCTTCTTCTCTTTTTTATTTTTTCACCATTTTTTAAATAATTTAAGTTATTTATTAATGTATTAATTTATCTATGTCTTTGTGATGAGTTAATTTTACTCTAATAAAAAAAAATTAATTAATTAAAATAATATAATGATAAAATTTAAGTATTAAGTATCGAAATTAATTAATTATAGTTTTATTTGAATAATTAAAGTTAAATATTTTAAATGAATTAATTTACTAAATTAATTAAAAAAACTAAATTCATTTTAAATGATGCTAAGAGTTGAAATTCTAAAACATCTAATTTCACTATAATCAATTAATATATAATTTAAATTAATTTACCTTCAAAGGTTTTATTACTCAAGTGATAATGAAATTTTCTATCTTAATCAATATATTTTTTCAAATTATATTAAACATATTTCTACCTATTAACCTATTATACTCTTATGTGAATTTAGATAAATAAAAATATATTATATCGTGTGAAATTCTTTAATTTATATAAAAAATTAAGTCTACTTCTTATTAATACTACATGAATTATGTTGATCCATTTTTAATTTTCATTCGATTCATAGTATATACTATTGAAAGTTATGGTATAAAATGCCTTAATTATACTCTTTAAATTAATTTTAATAGTAGCCAATCATTAAAAAGTATTAAAAGTAATAATATATATTTTATATGAAATAATAAGTTTTAAAAGTAACAAAATTTTGAAATTTTATATCAAATTGATCAAATTATATCGTAATTTTAGATAATTAAATTAGTTCATAATTAAAAAAAGAAAAAAATCAAAGATTTTATGATGAATATAAGGCTATCTAATACCATAAAAAAATTTAAAGATAAATAAAATTAATTTAATAATAGAAAACCTCAAATCTTAATTTTTTTTGTTTTTTATAATAGGTTCCTTCTAGTCATCTCTCTCCTGATCTCTCAAAAGCTCCCAATTTATGTTTTTAAATAGGTATTTACAGAGTTTTAAGAAACTCTATTAAAAAATAAAATAAAAGAAGTAAGACTTCAAAAAATAAGAAGGGAAATTTGTAATGCTGGATATGCCTTTGGTGTCGGCCCCACAGTTTAGGTGTTGACGCTTACGTTTATTTCTTGCAATTCTGTTCTTTTTAAAAGCCTGAACGCATGGTACTGACATCACAAAAAATATGTGTCGACACCATACCTGTGTTGGGTTTCTCTTGAATTTCTTTAATGGTAAAATGGGAGATCTGTTCCTCCAGCTTTCATACAATGAGCACTTTGATCCCAAAGCTTCGGGTTCATTCATTTAGGTCCCTAAAAGTAACCTTTCTTCATCCAATTCAGTCCCTTAACTTTCAAATATATTCAATTAATCTAAAAAATTCCTATCATTATATGCATTCATGTTTTTTTTTACACAAAAAATAAAAATCATGTAAAATTTATTGAAAATCACATATTAAGTATGTAAATAATAATAAAATTAAGGTTAAAACAACAGATTAAAGTATATAAAATACTTGTCATCACTTTACACGCCATTCAATTCTATTCATTATAATTAGGTTAAAACCCTTTTTTGGTCCCTGAACTATTGTACGGACCCCTGATTTGGTCCCTAAACTAAAAAAATCTCTGATTTGGTTCCTACTGTTTACCATTTTTACCCTGATTTGATCCTTTCGTTAAAAATCCAGTGACGTGTACTGTTAACTAACGAAAACATGATAACATGTCATATAATAATTCACGTGAAAGATAATATAGTTAAAAAGTGATGATGTGGAAAAAATAATAATATAAAAAAATAAAATTTTAATTTTTTTTCTTTTTTCTTTCTCCTTCTCATTTCCCTTTCCCTTCCTCCTTCCCCTTTCCCTTTCCCTTCTCTTTCCCCACGAAACCCAGCAGGCCTGGGTTCCTTCGAACCCACCCATGCACTAGGTTCCTTGCGAACCCAGCACGCTTGCCCGGGTTGGGTTCCAAGGATCCCAGGCGCTGGGTTCCGACGTGGGTTCCATGGAACCTAGGCCTGGGTTCCGTGGAACCCAACGCCTGGGTTCCCTCGAACCCACGCCTGGGTTCTTCGAACCCAGGGGTAAAAAATGTATTTTTTTTTTCTGTGGTTTTGGTGTTTGATGATGATGAAGAAAGCAAGGCAAGGAAAAGGAAGGAAAAAAAAAAGGGCGTTGTTGGGTTCGATTCAACCCAAGTGCTGGTTTTGTTTGCTACTGGAAGAAGAAGATGATGGCAAATTTGTAATTTTGGTGGGCCCCACTTTTGTTGGGTTAGGCAAGGACATGACATGTCACATTGCCATGTCATTATTTATTTATTTATACAACTGACGTGTATCAGATGTTTGACATGTCATTAAATTGACGTGAGATAACGGTGAGATTTTAACGGAAGGACCAAATCGGGGTAAAAATGGTAAACAGTTGGGACCAAATCAGAGATTTTTTTAGTTTAGGGACCAAATCGGAGATCCGTACAATAATTCAGGGACCAAAAAAGGGTTTTAACCTTATAATTATACAATCTAAAATAATAATAATAAAAAAGATAAACTCCTTCATTAAGTTAATCTCAACATAGATAAAACCTTAATGAAGAGACAAAAAAAAACCCTACTTTTTTAAAGTTGAAAGAGCAAAAGTTCAAAATTAATTAAGAGAAAGAG